TGCCTTCCTCATAACCCCCCACCCTCCCACCCACCCACACACACACACAGTGGCTTTACTAACACTGTTTTTCCTCCCTGATGTCAACATCTCCAGTAACTGCTCGGGTGGAGGCTCCTTGTCTCACATTCAACTAACCTCAAATCCACCCTGTTGTTGCAATGAAGCTTAAATGATGTAGTTGTGAAACTTTTACTGTTCCACAGCTCTGGCTCTGTTACACACTGTGCCTTGACATTGCAGTAGTAATGTGTTTACAACCCATTACCGTCTGATGGGTTGAATCTCGAAAAGAACATGACCTTATTTCACTCTAAATTCGAAAGTAAAAAATTCATTTCATAAAGAAATTAAAGACTGGTTCAAGGCCATTATGATTGTTTGCGTTGTGCCATTATTTATTATTGTTCATTGTTACCTTGATTATTATGACAATTAAGCACATTTCCCATCAAATTATAGTTAATCTGTTGCCATTCTCCTGCATATTTTTTTTTAATTCCTATTCTCACTGTTTTTTTTTTCTCCATTATTAGATTCTCTGTACGTTATAGTATATAGTAAGAAAAACCCTTTTCCTGCAAGTTTGTTTTTTAAAAGAAAAAACTAATGCTTATATTGTGCATTGAACTGATCAAAAGCGACAGTAAAGAAATGTGATTTCAGCTGTTTTTCAACATTGATAATAGTCAGAAATGCTTCTCGAGCAGCAAATCATGATTTCTGAAGGATCATGTGACACTGACACATGTGTCATTACAGAAATAAATTACATTTTGTAATATATTCATTATCTTTTGTCAGTAAAATTTAACATTATTATAATCACAATATTGTTGACTTCTAATAGAGAAAGCTTACAGATCCCAAACATTTGAATAGTAGTGAATACAACAAATAATGTCATAATCGGGAAGTATAAATATTATGCATCACATATTATACCTGTTACAATAATGAGAATTTGAAATGGAATTTGAAAAAGAAATGTCACTTTGCACAAATTGTAAAGGTCTTAAAAAGTAGTTTTGTTTGTTTTTTTCAATGAGCTTATAATTAGTTATTTTTCTTTTGATTTGGAGGTGAAATGTTCGGCATGTTCCTGGCATGGCCTTTGCTTCTCTTTTCCCCAAAGCAAAGCTGGATAAACTGGCCTAACCCAGCATCCTGAGCACTTTCTGTTCTGATCTGCTTGTGTGTTCTTTCCTCTCTTCTCCTCACCTGCTGTCTGTCATGTAGTCGTCTGTGCTGCTGGCTTCACGGCAGAGCTCGGCTGACGTCCCCAGTGCCGCTGAGCTTGTCAGTGCTATAGAAAAACTGGTCAAAACTAAGATGGTAAGTGTGCCACTGAACCCGATCTCCTCTCCTGGCACAAGCAGGGAGGTTTGATCGACTAACCTCCTGGTTTTCCTTTTTTCCTTTCTCTTTTCTCTTGCTCTGAGACAATCACTAACTCTTGAGCATCTCTTGCACTACTGTGATTTTCTGCAATAAGTCTTTTATGATTATAATGTTATAAAAACCTTCCAAACTTGCTGGATATTATAACTCGCTCTGGCCTGGAGTGACGCTTTTCTCCACTTTGAATCTTCTGAGCAGCTCTGATGGTGTTTACTGCAGTTTAGGGCCGTGTCGCACATAAACCATCCAATTGCAGTGTTTGTTCTCCCACATCAGGCCTGGCTCTTCCAAATTCTGACCGGAGTCTCTTGTATTTGCGTGTATCTCTGTACCTCTAGACACTGGAGCCAGGCTCGTACCCAGGATTCAGCTCAGTGAACCCAGCAGAGCAGAGCCCAGCGCCTCCCAGAGACCCGGAACTGGAGCAGAAAGCGTTTCGTGACGCACCTGCTTACATTCTGACACGCTCTTCACTCATTTGGGTTGGTCTGGGAGTAAATTCTACAAACATTACAGTCTGATTTCATGTCATAGTGACCAAACCACAGGTTGCTTGTGGGGCTAAAGCCCTGCTGCTAATGTAACGTAAGGGACCATTACTTATTTATTTGTTTTCTATTTATAAAATATATTTGTATAGTTTGGCTCCCAGGTTGGCATTAGCCTAATAAATCATGTATATGTGTCGTCACATGCATACAAAATATGCATATGAAATGCATAAATCAGTTTTATTATATTGAGTTTTATAAATGAATGGTTATTTATTTATTTAGTGGGAACTAGTGAGGAAAACATTTGATATTTTTTTAATAGATTTTTACTGAATTTAAATGTTTACATACACTGCTTTTTGGTTGAAAATAATTCTTATGAAACAAATTATTTTAATTTACAAATGAACAATTTTCTTTGAAAAAAATGTATGCAGCACCATCCCAAGCCATTATGGAAGCCCGTTTCCGCCACTGAATAAAAAATAAAAAAGGTTATTGTGACTTTTTATCTCACAATTCTGACTTTTTTCTCAGAACTGTGAGTTTATATCTCGAAATTGTGACTTTTTTTTTTAGAATTGTGAGATACAAATTCACAATTGCGAGAAAAAAGTCAGAATTACGAGTTTATATCCAACAATTTGGGCTTTAGAACTCTCAACTATTAGTTTATATCACGCAATTCTGAGAAAAAAGTCAGAAGTTTGAGTTTATATCTCGCAATTCTGACTGTACAACTAAAAAAAAGTCAGAATTGTGAGATAAAATAACCTTTTTTTATTTATTTGTATTCAGTGGCGGAAACAGGCTTCCATAAGCCATTTCAGAGTGAGTACATATATATATTGAGATATTGCCAAAAGATTTAGAAATATCACGTTTTTTTTTTTCACTGTATTGCCCAGATTTTAAAAAAATAATCTGGTTACATTTGGTAAAATGCAATCGATTATTTTCAAGCAACCAGATCTGGTAATAATTCCATGTTCATGTAACAGGCAACATTTGAGAAAGTCATCTCCCTGAACAATATGGCTCTCATTAAAAAGCAGAGATATTTATGGGAAAAGTTATCTCTTTAGGCAGTTGGCCTCTTTGTTCTTTCATTCTGCTACACCCTTAAAAGAGAAGTGTGATGTGACTTAACCTGACACAGTTTTGTGTCCATTTGCAGGTTTGTTCTGAATGAATTAATCCAGACAGAAAAAGACTACGTGAAAGATTTGGGTATCGTGGTCGAGGTAAGAATAGCCGTCATCCTGACAGTATAGCATTACATAATTCTGTGACTAAAGGCATAGTTTTGCTTTAGCGTGAAAACACTCTAGTGTGACTTTATCCTTCTTCATTCGTCTTCTATCTTAAGATCAGAGCCATTTGGCATCATCTGCTGTGTCATTACTCTTTTGCATTACATCAGTTTTTACTCTGGGTGAATGTGTTTTGAGTAGTGGCTCATATGTACATGAAATCATTTTTTCTGAAGGGGTTTATGACGAGGATAGAGGAGAAAGGAGTTCCTGATGATATGAAAGGAAAAGACAAGATCGTCTTCGGAAACATTCACCAAATCTATGACTGGCACAAAGAGTAAGCCTCTCTGATTCTCTTAGCTCCTCTTATCGAACCATGAGCGGAATGTGTCTAATTCTGTTGCTGTCTGAAGCTTTTTTGTTGGTGAACTGGAAAAATGTCTTGAAGATCAAGAAAAACTGCCCGGGCTGTTCTGTAAACATGTGAGTATGTGATTGACATCAGGTCTGTTAGCTGTGTTAGCTGTGCATTGCTCATGAAGTGTTTCCTGTTTCTGTGTGTGTAGGAGAGAAGACTGCACATGTATGTGGTTTACTGCCAAAACAAACCCAAATCTGAATTCATTGTTGCAGAATACGATTCATACTTTGAGGTGAGACACGCTTTACTTTGATGGCGTATTTTTGTAGACCAGCCCAGAAGTTAACATTACCCTGTTTTTCTCAACAACAAAAAAACCCAATAGGATTTTTTTCCATAAGCTCTCTGAGATAATCGTCACAGATGAACACCACTTTTATGAATTGTGAAGCCTAAATGAGTAAAAACCTAAAGTTAGGCTATACGCTGTGGTGACCACCACTAAGCTGCCAACAACTATTTTAATCTTTATTTAAAATCTACTGGTTGGAAAGCTTGAGTTAGAATAGTTTCCAAGAGCATGTGCATACATAAAAAAGGCTGTAAAAGTGGACTAGTGAGTCGATGAGTTTACCTGTTGGGTGTGATGACGTTTAATGTCCCGACAACCTCTGTAGCCTTGTTACAACTGCCTTTTTTAAAGGGGTCATATGATGCGATTTCAAGTTTTCCTTTCTCTTTGGAGTGTTACAAGCTCTTGGTGCATAAAGAAGATCTGTAAAGTTGCAAAGACTAAAGTCTCGAATCCAAAGAGATATTCTTTATAAAAGTTAAGAGTCAGCTACACCTACCTAAAACGGCTCGTTCTAACACGCCCCCAGATATCTACGTCACGATGTGGAAATATTAGCATAATGCGCCCAAATGTGCACGCAAAGAAAGAAGGCGTGGTTTCAGGAACAGCAGTAATGTTGATGCAGCATGTCAGGGAGACGCTGTGTTTCAGTGCGAAAGCAAAAGCACTTTATTTGGCCTTCCGGAAGTAGATGCAATTAGGAATCATTGGTTAAGATTTATTTACAACAGAACAGCACAACCCAGATGTTCGAATTTGTGCAACGCATTTTATGGACGACAGTTTTTTTGAACCTAGAAGAGTACCAGGCTGGCTGTGCACAAAGGCTATTTCTAAAAAAAAAGAAAAAAAGGGTCAAAAAAAGGGATTTGCTATGACAATCTGGCGCTTCTGAATCAGCGACTGTAAGTATGTTTTGTTATTAGTTTAAGTATTTGCTATTGACTCTTCAAATGCGGAGTTTTGCGCAGCACAGAGTAACACATCGTGTGTGTGTGTGTGTGTGTGTGTGTGTGAGGGGAACAGGGTCACATCACAGGAGAGTGAACTGTCTGTCAGAAATCATAGCACGTCAGCTGTCTTAACCGCGGCTTGTGTACTGCATCATCACTATGTCTGTCACGCGACTCTGTTGCCCTTTCGGGCTTGAACTGATGGTAAAACTAACAACATTATTAACTGTCTTGATATTTACTTTGAAAGCTTGAAGCTTGCGATTATGGTAAGGGGCGTTACATTTCCGACGCGTGCTTACGGTGTTCGGCCAATCACAATGCACTGGGTCAGCCGGCCAATCAGAGCAGACTGCGCTTGTCGGAAGGAGGGACTTTGTAGAAAACTAAGCATTTGAGAGAGGCGGGGCATAGAGGACTTACAATAATGTACAGTATTTGAAAAATAATGTGTTTTTTGAACATTATAAGCATGTCAACATATTCTGTTACACCAAATACACAAAATAATGATCTTTAAAATAGCATCATATGACCCCTTTAAGACGCGTAAAAGCTGGGCTACTTTTGATTTATTTTATGTTGTAGCATAAAATGTGAAAATATCTTGAGATTATTAACACAGACTTTTTTTTATGCATTTAACCAAAAACCTATAAAAAAATGTTTAAAGATTTGTTTTTAGGACTCTTTCCTGTAGCACTCTATCAAATCACTTCTGAAAAAAATAATTACTCATTGCAAGTTTATCTTTATGTGTCTGTTTTGACTCGCAGGGGATTCAGCAAGGCATCAACTCAAGACTGGGCATCAGTGATTTTCTCATTAAACCCATTCAGAGGATCACTAAATACCAGCTTTTATTAAAGGTACAGTAGAAAAGAAGTCGTTGATGCTGTGATGGATAACATGAATTAATAATAATAATGTTTTAATAATGTATATAATTTCTTCAATATTTCTCTATTGCTTAAGGACTTCTTGAAGTACAGCACAAAGGCAGGATTGAATTGTCAGGATATAGAGGTAAAAATGAAGCTAAAGCGCTCACTTGCCTAATAATAATAATAATAAAGGTCAGTCATAAAGTGAGGACAATGCATTTTAGATTTTTGTAAAGTTTGTTGAAGCTGCTTATACTTCAGGCCCAGAGGTCATCCAGATTTTTGTTGGGTTTCTCTGACAGAGAGCAGTAGACCTGATGTCCCAGGTGCCCAAGCTGTGCAATGACATGATGAATCTGGGAAGACTGCAAGGATTTGAGGTAAACTGAAAACAGCTTCACTGTACTCATTCTGAAGTGTCATCAGTGCAAGCTTACTGAAAAGACGTTGTAAAAGTTTGCAGTGATCGTACCATGATTAAGGGGTGTTCTACTGTTGTCAGTTACTCACCCTCCTTTTTGTACTGAAACCTGAGTGATTTCTGTCTCTTCATTGTTAAGATTTGTCACATGCAAAGAGCTCATCAAATATTGTAAGTGGAAGCTTGTAACACGCAAGCATGTTTGAATTTCCACAAAAAGCAATGAGGTTTGTTTTCATGTCAAGCAAGTATGGTTGAGTTTCCATGTACCATATTTGATGTATGCTATTGCGCTCTCTCTCTCTCTCTCTCTCTCTCTCTATATATATATATATATATATATATATATATATATATATGTGTGTGTGT